CCAGGAAATTGTCCTCATCAGTGAAAGCCCGGCAGTGGGCAGGTATCCCAGAGTGGAAAATCCGTTTCAGGCTACTGACAACGTGGGAGTCAGCTCCAGCATTGGTCAGAGCTTCAATGGTCGCAGTGTGGTTCCTGTGGGCAGCAACATGCGGCCCACCAATCCACCGGACCAGATCAGCCACACTCCCGTCAAAGTACAACAGGGCGGCAGTGGCCATCTTGACACGGTTGAGGTTCAACTCGGTCTCCGTTTCCCAGCCAGCTGGGTATCCACGGATTCCGCGGAAACCGGTAGTCCAAAGCTCAGAAAGGAGCTCTTTGAGAACAAGGGCAGGGTAGTAGGCGGTGCAAAATGCTAGCCAGTCGTTGGATCCAATCGGGAGGAATCCAGTCTTCACCAGTGGAAGCAGAACATGTCGCAGGGCAGGAGTAGAATACAGAAACTGGGACAGATTGTCCTTACCGAATGGTTGGTCAACTTTGGCCAGCACCGCGGGGTGTCGCTCGGCAAGTTGACCCCGGAAGCGTCGCTGGACGGACTGTGTGAAGACTTCCTTCAGCGTAATGTCCTCAGGATCAATCACTTCGGATTGTGTCGGGTACCATTCTTGGGCACGTCGAATGGCCAAGCCATTTCCAATATCAGCGTCTGGTACATCGTCAGCGGGCACAGATCTGGGGCCAGGCTTGGGCAAGTACCGCGAGAGCGTGATAAATGTGGTTTATATACCACAGAAATTGCCTCTCCAAATACCGAATAGATAAGATTTTTCATGATTTCATAGGATTAACAGTACGCCCTACCTTCGTAGACCCAGCAGTGACTTACCTCGTACCCCTGCAGTAGATTCCACTATCCTGCACGGGCCAAGTCAGGGTACATAGTAGTTCTAGCTACGGTCCCCTGGGAGTTAGGGTTTGTGGGCTTGTAGTTCGATTCTCGATGGTGTTCCCTTGTGTTCCGAATCGTTCCTGCTCCCACGATAATAACTCCATGTCGGAAAGCTCGCTAGTACGTATGCACTAGTAGTTAAGTAGCCCATAAGTCTTCTCATGCATTCTACAAGTCTGCAGCAACCGGATACCGGCTCCTGCAGGGCTAGAGAAGCACGACAATAAATACGCAGCATGCACTCATTCCGGGGGAGTTAAGGTCTTACATTCCCCGTGACATTCGTACCATCAACCAGTAAAGACTTGGGGGGAGAAGTTCACCTCCAGGCTTAGAGATTAGCAAGTCTCTATAGTTAAAAATAGTACTCATGACGTCCTCTAGTAATGTACACATAGACTATGGGGGAGTTCACCTAACTCTCCATCGTGACATATGTCTTGGTTTAACGGAACACTAGAGAGAACAACGTCTAAGACCTTCAGAAGATCTCCACCTCGCTCGTGAGTTAAGGAAAGAAGAACCGGTACTGGTACACCCGTTACGTACTAGTACAGTCAGAATTCCGCTTTCTGTAGTATGCAGGAAGCATCGTACAGTAGTTCCACTCGTAATTCCCCAAGGAAGACACTAGCTTAGTCGTCTATAGTAAATTAGTACGATCACTGAAGAGTGACTAGTCCGTTCGTACGATCGAATGCGAACACTTCCTAACTCTCACCCTACCATGAGAACCCTCAGGAATTCATCGAGGTTCCTGGGGGAGCGAATCAGCGAGTTAAGAGAACACGTACCTCCACTGACGTACTTGCGAAATTCGAAGAAAGATCCTTCCGTGACACCCGAAGGCTAGCGCTTGAATACAGGCAGCGCTAAAGCGTAAGACATTACCTGCATACACACCAGCTACGTGTAATTAGTGCTGGCTTATCTCAAGTGCTGTAATAGTGTTCGGCAATGGGGGAGTGATAAATGTGGTTTATATACCACAGAAATTGCCTCTCCAAATACCGAATAGATAAGATTTTTCATGATTTCATAGCGGACACCAAATTGGCCAAGGGAAGCTTGGTAATTGAATTGGAGAACAGGATTGAGTCCAAGCCTGATGTGCTACAGGTACAGTTGAAGCCTAAAGCAGCTCCAGTAGCTGCTTTGGCTACTGGAATGCCCTAGTTTCAGCCAGGTCTTAAGCTATATAGCCATAATAATAATATAGTCTTAAGGTATCAGCCTAGAATATTACAATAGTCTTAATCTCCTGCGGGTCTTAATGGGCAGATCACTCTAGTGTGTGATTGCAACCACCTGCTGATACAGAGAGACCCTTCAGGAGGCCCTAACTGGCTTTAGCACCTGGATTTATCTACAGCTGCTTGTATTAAGCTAAGCAATGCAGTTGTGTTGGAAACTGAGTGAAACTGTTGTTGCTGCAGGAGACATGTTGCCATGTATTCAGTTGGTCAATGCATTGAAACCTTCACCACTCACCACGATGAGCTATCCTGCAAGGTAAAGTTGCCGTTAAATAAAAACACACTACCACAACCAGCTTACCAGAGAAATGCACTGCCCCTTTAAATAAACACACTTGAACACACCAATTTACCAGGTGAGAAGAACCTGCCACTTAAATAAACACACCAAAACACACCAAGGAACACACCAGGAAACACACCAATGTACACACCAAATTCGCAACAACCATCAAATCTCCACCCTCACACCGTCAATCGTAGCAACAGTATCAGCGGTAGCGCTTGTTCCACATCAAATCCACCCTCACACTCTCGTTGCCTTCATTCACCGTCGATGGTAGCAACAGTATCGGCAGTAGCGCTTGTTCCACATCATTCACCTTCACACTCTCATTGCCTTCATCCACCGTCACTAAACCCAGGCGGTGATGGAGACGGAGACGACCATGGATAGCTGGGAGGTAGCGTGCGTGATAGTGGAAGCAGAAGAAGAAGATTGGAGGAAACATGCCGTCGACCTAGGCAAGCGAGAGTTAGCCCTGAATCACTTCAATCATTTCCTAGCCAGCGAATACAGTCACCATGGGATGAAGACACCTTGGAAAGCCGACCAAATTCCCTACAAAGGTGTTGGCACCGACGGCTCCCAAAAACAAATCCAGAAGTTCTGGGACCGCCTTATTGGAGACTTTATCAAATACCTGGCCTGTTCCGCCATGAGATATCTGGACCCTGAAAAGGGAAGAATCAGCTACGATACAGCCACCGGATACGCATCCTCTATCAAGACCTACTACTGTGACAAGTTCAAACATGAAGGACCATCCCTCACTGTGTTCCAAACGGAAGATTACAAAAGGCTTCGCTGCTTCCTACTCCGCAAGTATAAGGAGCTGAACAAGCAAACAGGCAAGAAACTTGTAAATTCAAAGATAGGATCCACCATTGAAGATCGCAAGGCCATGGCATGCGGTTGCTTTTGGATAAGCACAATCGAAGGCGCTGAGTTCCACTGCTTGAACACTTCCCAGTTCCAAGTTCCAAGTAGCTGGTCGTGGAAGTGAAGTTGCCCTTCTTAAAGTCCAAGACATCTACTGTACCGACACCTATAAGATACACAACAATACAAAGTCATCTGCTGCAGCCTGCAATATGACAAGGATGGTCCACTACAAGAGTTAAGCATCTTTCCCCACCGCGATTCAGTGCATCAAGACATGTATTTTGCCCTTGTGTACTACATTGTAATGGGTGGTACACCAAATGATCACGTCTTTGCCAACTTCAGCGAGAAAGCAAAACATATCTCAAAAGCAAACAAACAACAAAGTCAAGTATCAAAGCTTTGGTCAACCTACTTCAACACACTATTCAAAGAATTCAAAGGGTTCTCTGAATTGGTGAATGAGAAGCTCTCAAGCTACCACGCCCGTAAAGGTGCCAACCAAGCCCTCTCGGAGATTCCAACAGTCAGTGGATTGGCACACATCTTCAGAACAGGTTGGGAAGTCCGTGGGTTCCATTCAGTGTTCGACTATGTAATTGGATCTGCAGTACTCATCAACCAAGCAGGCAAAGCAGTCAGTGGCTGGACTGCCAAACGAGACAATGAAATCGCAGGAGGGTCCCCGCCCATTCTTCATGACATCACCACAGCACCTGAAAAGATTGAAGGTTTCGTAACAGCCTTATTTTCAAATGACTACGACAACAAATGGAGTCGCAGTGTTCGAGGATTGTTGACAGCAAGTCTGCTCCGGTTCTACGATGACTTCATCGACCTCATTCTAGACCACCCAAAGCGTACATTTGAATGCACCGATCAACACCCATTCATATTCAAGGTGAACGAAGCCAGGAGAATGGCAGGTGTCGACGAGACCACATGGAAGAGTTGGTGCTCCCAATCGAGTTGATTCCAAGGAACAACAGGAACTTCCTCAACAATCTACGCTTGGACCCGCGCTGTTTTGTTGATCATTTCAACGCTCTGACCTCAGCGTACTACAGCCTCCATTCTCAACACCTAGTCCAGGCGGTATAAACATGAGTTGGCCAGCTCCAACTGGACCAGGATGTTGAAAAGCGAGCAAACCCGCATCAAGAACCACCACAAGAAGCTGAAGAAGTTCATCAAGACCATGCTGTTCTTCTGTCCTGAGTACCCCAACCCAAGACCTGAAAGTGTCAAAGAGCTTGTGCAATGGAAACGAGACATAGCCCACACCGCTCGTGTTGCAGAGATCGCTCTGTACCAATGTCTAGACCCAGACTCGAAACGCAGGAAGTTTCATCACACACCCTAGTGAAGCGGTTCGAAAACAAGGACGACCCCTTGAACAAGGAGCTACCCTCCAATACAATGTCCTCTGTGCAAATGTACTTTGGTGCCACCATCGACTAACGCTAACGATTAAGGCAATTAACAGTTAGATCAATCGTTACCGTCAATCATCAGTCAACAATCAACCGAACTACTAGCGCCGGGTAGAAATCGAAAATCTATGGCCCAGTCACCGCTCATGTAGGCAACCACCATCGTCGCCGGCATCTCCCATGAGCCCAATGGAGCAACAGTACGAGCTGCGTACCAAACATTGTCAGAGCTGGGTATGGTTGCGATTGAAAAACGCGCTGTATTATGTGTATTATCAGCTTAGCACCATACTTGTTGAAGGTCACTAAACAAGTTATTTTGGACCAGTGACCTCACCCTTTTGCACTTTCACCCTTGTCCGATGTTAAACCGACACTGACACGAAGAATAAACCTATCCCTCAAATTACTCCAAACAACTATCATAAAACAACTCGATCATTATTGCCTTTGAAAAAAGAGAAAACAAAGTGAGCGACTGGGAATTGGAACCCGTCTCGAAGAAAATGGTGCAGTCGGTGTAGCCTCTGGTACATTTGCTACACAGGTTGAAGTTTTCGAGACATGCTATGACTCAGTCCGGACTGTTCTGGAGTGTGACATGTTAACGATCACAAAACTGGCGTTTTCTGTTACTTAAGCGGCGCTTCTCACTGGTTCCAACATTAACACGTCTCCACTGGTTGAGTCTCGCTGTCACTTAGAGCGAGACTGGCCGGGCGACCTCTAAACCAGGGGAGACATGTTCCTGTATAGAATGGAGGCACAATAGCTACACTACATACCTTCAGGAGAAAGGGCATTTCATTGGAACCAGGTCAAAAACTGTGCGAGCCCTCCCAGCAATGTAATTGCATCGGCACCCACCACAGCACGAACTTGTTGGCATAGCTCATGGGTAGTGCGTCCACGGCGGCCTCGGACTGAGTGTCTAATGAAGTGAGATTCTCCAGGTACCAATGGGGCCAACACAATCCCGGAGAAACGGATTTTGTTAGCTCTGCTGATAAACCACTGCGTTTTCTTTGCATAAGCCACCCAATCAACCAATCGAAGCTCTTTGTTTCGGCATTTCACAGTATCTGTGCTGCCTGTGACGTCAATCAAGACAAGTTGGTTGTTTGACGTCTTGAAGAAGATGTCGCCGAAAGGGTGCGAATTCTGCCCGTTTCCCTCGTCCGCACAATAAATGGTGTTGACTTGCATGCTTCGAACTTTCGCCAAATCAAAGGAGGTAAGGGTACTGTCTTTGAAAATCCGACCCTTCTCAATACTTTTGCATTGTATGCCAAGGAGAAAGCCCTCGTGCAAAAAGTCCAATTGTCCATAGACGGCAGATGACGTAGAAAGTGTCCAGAGAAATGCACGTTCCAGTGGTGTATCTGCCAAGATGTCATCCCCATTAGCAAACACCGAACGAAAGAAGACATATCCAAGTCTAACAATCTTGTCAATGTCTCCATTCCCGCTAGGAGCTCCAATTGCTCGTACTGACGCCGTGAACTTGGTAGCCTCGCTGCCAGCGATGCTGTAGGCAATCAATCCAGCGCCGACTTTATGCCCGAGACGGTCGATTGCAGCTTCATCCATTCCCAAGAGAAGATATTCAGCGCGGCATCCTGTTGGTCGGTTCTCGACCCTCCGTTCAACTGGAACACGAGAAATGCAATCCTCCAATGCAGCTTCCATGGCTGACGCATCGTTGAGGCTGTTTTTCAACTTGACAACTCCAGGTGCAAACGCTGTACGGAACGCGACATAATCTGGACTGCACCTCCCAACGAGGTGTACCGAGTTCAGGTGCCCTCTCAAGTAGTCACCACAATGGAAAAGTAAGGTAGACAACAACCTCCCAAATTTGGTATTCAGCGCCACTTTCTTGCGGTCGAGAGGACACTTAAGCTCAATCTCCAGTAATTTTTCCACATCCACCAGAGGAATAGCAACCGGGGAACGGCAGATTTCTGATGATTTGACAGCAGGGACTTCAAGTGGGGGCCCGGCAAAAGTTGCAACAACCACCACGAGAGGCAATTTCACCAACACTTTCATGGCCCCGCGACGGAAGTGCCCGTTGTCGTTCATCTGGCGGTGCTCGTCGAGATGCAGCAAGATCCGTCCCCTGATTCCTGCAAACATATCCTTGAGAAGGGCCAAGGAATTACCTTCATTCCTTGGATCCTGGCTAATTTCAATTGATTTAGGTGTTCCCTCCTCTGGGTCGTCATTGAGCAAGCACTCAACACACCGCACCATAAAGCCGGCACCTTGATTTTCAGCTTGCGTCGCGTCGTCGGAAACTGCACCGTGAGCTTGAAAGTTTCGGTCCTTGTTATTTGAGAAAGCGATGTAAAGATAATGGGTGTAGCTCTCCGTCCTGTTGCCCTTGGCACTTTGAACAAAAGCAGCGGCCACGCTGGCTGTCTTCCCCGACCCAGCAGGTGTGACAGCGTAGTACACCGTAGGTCGGGCCAGGTCACCGTTGCCGACTTCAAGACGACTCACCATGAGGTTCAAATCGTCCTCTTGTGCATAATAAGAAGAGTGGCAAAGCTTCTGCCAAACTCCATTCTTGCTTTGGCGAAAGGGGAGATGCTTAATGTAAATACTGAAGTCTTGAAACAACGTGTGACCATTTTCAGATTTCATCTTGCCGTCGAAACATTGTTTGAGAGCGAATGCAGGGGAATATTTTTGATACGCCGGTACCTTTTCCACTTGTTGCGGCCGCAATAGCATGTGCTTGATAACAATAAAACAATGTACTGTATCATGTGCAACCAAGATGTAACGCTCGGAGTCCTGACTTCCAAAATCTGGGAGACCCCACTCCCAGATTCTGGGAGTCACCCCTGCGAACTCGATACCTCTTCCAGTACCTTTACTCTATGTTTACTCTATCAAGATGATGCTATCTCTTCTACAGCGGCTACTCCTGTCAACAAAGGCTACTACTCACCACCATGACTGGCTCCTCTTGCTTGGGTAGTGGCAGCGGCAGCCGTTCGTTCGTTCGTTCGTTCGTTCGTTCGTTCGTTCGTTCGTTCGTTCGTTCGTTCGTTCGTTCGTTCGTTCTTCTTCTTCTTCTTCGACGGAGCGATCGATCGGAGCGATCGATCGGAGCGACCATGACGCCTCCTCTTCCACGGAACGACGACGCAGGCCACTACCGTTTTAAAATGAAACAACAAGGGACTACTACTAATGCAACAAGCGGTTCAGCAGAACCAGCATGGCAGGCAGACTCATCAACCATCAGCCGACAATTCTGGAAGACAGGATATTCAGGTAGATGCGGGAATAACATTGAAATCTGACCCAATATTTACCACACCTACTAGTAGAGACTCCCAGAATCTGGGAGTGGGGTCTCCCAGAATCTGGGAGTGGGGTCTCCCAGATTTTGGGACTCCGAGCGTTAAAGACGCTCTCAGGCTACTAGCTGGCTACTAGTAGGGCCCCCACCACTCAAACCCCCAATATCCCACCAAAATCCCACCTGGTACATATTCTACATAGGATTTCTACGTATAAAATAGGGATATCACTAAGGCTAACCAATTAGGGGTCATTTGGGATGGGAACAGTGAGTCCCTAGGGGCTAGTATACTAGTGACTCACGTAGAAGCTACGGAAAGTACAGCGGGACCGTCGTGCCAACAACAGCCCATCCGTACACTACCGCTGTAGAATCGCTGTAGAGGATTAGCCAATCAGAATTGTTCGATCTTTAGATTTCGATGACGTCAGCCGTCAGTCGTGCACACGAGAAGTCAGTCGTGCACACGATTCAATATTTCGCTTTCTCTGTGTCAGCTCGATCAGTCTCTCGTCGTGTTGTTTTCGTGTTGTTTTGGACGGAGCATGCATCCAGAGGATTTGAGCGAGATAGTGAAGCAAGACAATAAAACCGAGGTCATCCCGTCCGTATTCAGTAGCCACAGAGGTACTCACCACAGCCGAGGATATAGCCGCTTTCATCACAATCCGAGGAAGCTGTACGAGGAAGCTGTATTCATCGCAATCCAAGGACGATGACTTCCCCAATGTGGTCGACGAAAGCTACAATGAGCCTATTGGGATTTCCTATGGCAGGTGCAAGGACTGGCAGACAGTCAACCAACAGATTGACACCCTCATCCAGACTGGATCTCCAGTGTCTCCAGTGGCGCCTCCTGGGATCAGGCTGCCAGGAGACAGCAGGACAACACCACAATCTGCCAGCCCAACCACCATGCACGGCCCTCAGAACAATTGGAGCAGGAACCAGAGCCCCATGTCCCTCTATCAGGTCAGTGTGGTCAACCAGTGGTTGGATTCTTCAAAAAAACTGAGTACAAAGCAGGAAGAAGTCTTCCATAACTCAGTCAGGCATGCAATCGAACACTATGGTAGCGCCGCCAACACAGACAACGTTGCCGAGCTTGCTGCCGAATCATTCGATCGAATGCACTTCAACATGATGGGGCAGGGCAACGCTGGTCTCAGGGGTAGGCTGAGGCCCCAGCATGCCAAAGCTTTGCTTAGACAGGGGGTATGCTGGTTCGGATGGCTGCCATTTTTCAACATGCCACTGGAAAGAGAAAGGCTGCTCCGAAGCAAGGCGGTCTGACCAAAGCCAAGCTGTTGGACTCCTCCACAAGCTTCGTAGACATGAAGAATTGGGCCAGGGTCCTGGGAAAGTCCATCAAAAAAGACAAAGCCAGAGATGAAAGAGGTTCTGCTGCAGTGCTTTGAGGGCCAGCCAGAAGGCCATGTGTTCCACTCCCATTAGCTAGCTTGGTGGTTGGGCTCCAAGGGCCCAATCTTTAAACTTCTAAGCCCCCTGCGGGGGCCCATCCTTTCAACTTCTAGCTTAAAAAAATTTCTTACACCGGGTGGTTTTTTCGGATCTGAAACCCCCCTTGGTCCCACCCGAGATATTAGCCATACTAGTATATAGCTCATCCACGACAGCTACTATTAGTTCCGATAAGAATGGTACTGAAATACTGTACAGACTGTCTGTGATCCTCGCCGTGGAAAGTGCTCTTTGAAGCCAATCTTCTTTATCGAAGCCTTCCAAAAAAAAGAAGCACTAGTACCTGGTACCGGTACGATACCCACCACAGTGCAATTCACTGCCTTTGCTGAAGACAATACAACCTGCTTTTGACTGCTTCTTCTTCGCAGATGCCTTCCTATACCTCTCTTCCTACTACTAATACAAGCAGCAGGTGGCTATCGGCAGTATTGGCTGAATGCAACAAGGTCGAGTGACTGGTGCTTTAATCTTCACCATGACACTGAATCGAAGGCACGCCAGCCTCCTTTTGACTGCTTCTTTGTGTGTCAACAAGAATTCTAGCTAGTGCTACTACCATGCACTGTGTCCAGCAATCTGCACTATTGCGTGACGTAGTTTTGTGGGAAAGGATTTCCCCCCAAAAATGGTAAGCGCCATGTGGATGCACGAGTACGTCGTACTGCCGACGGCTCTACTACTGTGCGACTGCTTCTTCTTGTGTCAACAAGTCAAAGAGGAGAACCCTGATCTATCGTTTGGAGAAATTGGGAGAGTATTAGGAGAGAGATGGAGGTCTCTCTTAGATTGCGAAAGGCAACAATACGCTTGATTAATTATTCAGCTCATCGACCATGTGCTTCCGGTTAATTTGATCCAACCGATACATCTTAGTAACCACTTCGATATCATAGTCTTTCACCTTACAGCTCTTCTTATTTCGAAATTGCGCGAAGGTCTTAACCTTATTAGGAATCCGATACATCATCTTGTCATCATCCCTGGGTACTAGTAGACCCGAGGGGGCCAAGCGTAGCGCATGAGACAATTAAGCCAACAAAGATGCACACCACCGATCAAATATGCATCTAGAGGCGTATGTCGAAACTATTATTACCCCTCGGGTCCCCCTGGTTCCCCTACTGTTTTTCCTATAGTAATTGACCATTTTGGGGGGACCGGGGGACCGCCGTTAATCTAAGATTCCCGTAAGATTTAACAATTAAGACCCGGCACATAGAAATCCCCACCCACGGCGAATTAGCCATTTCATATTTTTGTCCTCAATATTTAAGTGACGTGCCCTGTCAAAAAGATTTTTTTGCGAGCTTTCCGATTCTGTGCTACTCTTTATAGTACAGTCGAAAATAAGTGAGATATAATCGCCGAAAACTCAGCTCTTCGCGCCGTAGCACGCCGTACTCATCCTACACGAGCGAGAAACTTAGCCGGGTGTTCCAGAATGGACGATGCAAGACGAAGTGGTGGGGATTTTAATGTGCCGGGTCTTAATTGGTGGACCGGGGGACCGCCATTAATCTAAAATTCCCCCTAAGATTTAACGAAAATCTGCGATCCTCCTGGTTATCTCCGGTCCCCGGTCCCCCTTTATATCCAGCCCGGCGGTGACTGAACCTGTATCATTGAGACTCCAAGGACCAGGGACCCTTCCAATCTCTAGCCACTGAGCGGACCCAAAGACCTTAGCTAGCTAGCCTACGCGGCGATTGAGCGTACCCAATCTCAGCCATCGATCATGCACCTTTACTTCATACCGCACCTTTACCTTTAGGTTTACTTCATTTCTCACCTTCACTTTATCTGCAGCCTGCGCACCTTCGCACCTTTATTTCATGTCATCCCATCGATCATGCACCTTTACTTCATACCGCACCTTTACTTCATGCCATCCCATCATTGCTATCAGGGTTAATATTAACTAATACCTAACTAGTTCATTCCCGGATGGTTGGTCTGTGACATTTAGTCCCCATCAACCATTAGACACCTAAATACCCAATCCTGTTTTGTAATTTGAAGGTCACCCCAGTCCCCTTTTAGGGGACCATGGTCGAATCGCCTGGCCATAAGGCATTTTCTACCCTCACTGCCTCATAGGCGGAAAAGAAGTGATAATACTGGACGATCCGGCAATTGGGATATGTGACGTCAGTTTCACGACTGAATAGAACTGTCGTCAAACGTGCTTTAAATATAATTTATTAAATAGGCGACAGTTTCGGCGACCGTTGAAAAATAGGCAATGGTTTAGGCAACAGCTATGATTTAGGCAACCGTTACTAGCATTTAACGGGTTGTTTCTCGAAGCATTAGGCAACAGTTTAGGCAATTCTTGTGTAAAAATAGGCAACTATTTAGGCAATCGACTAGATTTAAGCTACTAACGGTTGCCTAATGCTTCGTGCACCCATTCAGTCGTGATTCATAATTAGCTTCGGTACTAATTGCCGGATCGTCCTGGCTAGCTACAGTCGTAGGCTACCGTACAGTAAAGGTATCACCCCTCTAACAAACCAGGAATACAACCGTGTACATGGAGTACCAGGCTCTACGTATTACCCTGTCTTTCCTTATGTTTGTGGGTGTTTCTACCTTTCTCGACCTTCCAAGCTGACTGGAACATCGAACGACCGACTGGCTCGCTGGAACATCGACAATGGTATGAACGAAGCCTCACTGAACACAGACGATCACTGAACAACCGAAGGAACACAAGAAGACTGACGCAACCAAGTCAATCCAAGCAAAAGATCGCAAAGTCCTGGGAAGGTACGTGATCGGCAGAGTGGCAAAGTCAAGAAAAACGCAAAGTCCTCGAAACTCGCTACGGCAAAGACAAAGTCAC